TGAGATAAATATCTAATTTTTTGTATGGTAACAGACAAAGGTTCACACTAACTTGGTACGTTTTTGGTTTTCAATAATATGGTCATTAAAAGCTTTTACAAGTGCTTAAAGTTGATGCTTCTTGTAGGACAGGTAGTTTCAATAGAAACTTAAAAAATAAAAAAATGGCCTTCGACAAGCTTTAGAACAAAGCTTTATTTATCTTACTACAAAATTTCAAACCTCTGTTCGAAATATTAAACTCATGATATCTAGAACCGATAAGCATGCTTTTACTCTACGGCGCGTGTACTAATGAACCCCTTTAATGTATCAGCATTTTTTGAGTATGCATAGTTGATATTTTATAAAAAATCTAACCAAGTAGAAAAGGATTCGGTGCTATTTTTTAACGTATCAGCATCTTTTGAGTACTATTATTGAAAACAAGAAAAAATCACTAAATTGCCTAAAGCTGACTATAACAATTAATTTTAATTACGAATATATCAATAAATTGATTTTATTCTGATACATATTGGTTTCATTTTGGAACCTTAGAACCTATCCAGTATGATTCCATACCAATTACCATTCCATATCCACGGTTTATATATTCGGGCCATATAATGGAACGCATACCCCGCGAATAAAGAGCTTTTACTGTATAAGATCATGCTTTTAGGGAACAACTTCGATTTGCACAATAATTTATCGAGCATGTCTACAGAGTGCTGATAACGACTAATACATTCGAAATAATGATCCAAGTCAGATCATCATCATCATAAGGTCATAATTTTATCATTTCATTAATTAAATTCTTTTTAGGTCGCTGTGGAACATTGCCGACTTTATAATCCTTCTCGTGATATTTTTTCATACTTGCTATGGAATCTGTTTGATGTTTCCCTCATGTTTCCGTGTGATGTCCAACGATAAACTGAAGATAGCCTTCTTTGTGCTACGCTTAGTGCGACTAGTTAGACTGGTCAAAATAGTAGGGGTAGCAATCCAAAAATTCAGAAGTTATAAAGTTAATAGGACGCACAATCGCATCATGTTGGCATACGAAATTGGAAAGGTTAGAGTTTCCTCTAATCTTTTATTATACCTAGTCAAAAGAACTATCTAGATCTATCCAAGTAGTATAGCGAAGCATTGATAAGCAATTAAGCATCTAATACCTACCATTTTACAACAAGGGGTAACAGCCTAGCGGTATAGATGGTCGGCTGCCATCCATTCGGACCCGGTCTCTATCCTCAGCCGATACTACAGCGTTTTTCTTGAGAATACGATACATACTAATAATAATTAGGCATCTACCTAATACCTACACCTAAATAGCAATGTATATTTTCAGGGTTACGTTGCAGGGGATGAAGGACTTGAAGAAATGATATATCAGACTGTTGACAACAAAAGCATACGTGACGATTGCTTAGAAAGAATTAAATCTGACAGGCTAGCAGTGACTAGACAGCTTGGCCTTGTCCAAAAAGACCTACCTTGGATAGCAAACACTGTAAAAACTAAACAGGCCTGTATGGTGGTGCTAAGTTCCGTTAAAGAGGTCGTAATAGAGTTAAAAACTTCCGGTGGGTAACTACTCATTATGTAATTTCCCTCTTTCTAAAACAATGTGTCAACTCATCTACTGTCGCAATGGCCTATAAAATATATGCTTTTGGGCTTGAGTTTTCAGGTTGGATAGACGAATTTGAATACAGGAACCTAACAAATAGTGTGATGCAAGAAATCAGCTATGTAGAACAAATAAAGTCCGTTGTCCAAAACACCCCAAGAGAACTCTTTAGAGAAATGTCATGGATTGGCGGAGACAAAAATTTGGCAGACTACCTATTCCATAACGTTATCACGAAAATATTTGACTTGGGTGACATGATATGCGTAGAAGGAGAGCTTTCTAAAGGAGTCTACATTGTTATATCTGGTAGGTAATTTTGTTAATTTGACGCTGTTTTTATTATTTTGATGCGACAATACCCCACCAGCATCATCTGAAAGGAATATGTAACGTTTCTTAATTTTCTGTTAGAAGATATGAATTATCGAACGGCTTGGCCTAGTGGTTTAGTCCATTGCTTAGCACTTGAGAGGACGCCGGTTCGATTCCGGGTGCGTCTGTTCTGTCCCAAGTTTTTCTGTGGTTTCCTTGGATCACTTAGCCAAACGCTTAATTATATTCCAGTAGTATAGCAATAATATTTCCCACAGACAATAATTCACTCTCTTAAGTCTTTGTCCGTCTCATCTTTCTCACCTCAACCGTCACCCCATCCACTGCTACGATTCCTAAAAGGAAGCTGAAGAGAGTCTTCCTACCTACTCTCTGTCGTAGTCTGAAGGTACCGTTACTATCAGTAGTAGCTGGTGGAAATAACGAAACACCCAGAAGTTTTTTCTGGAGTGTCGAACAAACGGCTGAACGATGTCTCAAAATGAGTCCTGTTGTAAGATAATAAAAGATACTTTATTTTTCACCTTGTAGGATTACTAAAACTGTCATACACTCCAAATCAAAAGACGATAGATGAAATGACACACTATGGTAGATTACCTATCGTTGATTTTATAAACAATATGAACTACAAAGAAATGTTTGAAGAGTATATCACCTCCGGAAATAGTTTTGGAGAACTGTCAGTGCTCACGGGACGACCATGCGACTGTTCAATATATGCCGAAACCACCGTACAAACTTACATAATTTCTAAAGAAGTCCTCCGTTCAGCATTCAGTTTATTCTACAATCCTGCAAACGGGTAAAAAAAAAACATCTTGTTTCAATATTAATCCAGCACTACTTCAGTGAAACGACTAAACAACTCAAACATGAGTTATACTGCGTTTACTTTCTGTAGCGATATGACCTTCAGTTTGACCGGCGCAAAGTAGAAAAGAACAGCACTAGGCCAGCGAGGGAAGGAGACAACTCTCGGCCAAACTCTTAACCGGTGAGGAGCGTATAATCTGTACAGTACTGAACGGAAAAATTGACCATTTTATCCACTACAATTGCATTGCTCAAATGTGCTGTTATTGGTACCATTTACTACTGAAAATATCAACGAGATGTTTATTTATATTTGAAGACATATTAAAGACTTTAACGCTTGTTTTCGACTCGCACTACTGTTCATGATTGAACAAAACTTTTGGCAGGTACTGTATGAAAAAGTATGTTTAATGAACAAGAGTCGAGAGTATAATGAGCTTGTTTCTCCCTACTTAACGATTTTGCCAGCGCGCATCCAAGACATTGGAAGGGGCACATCGCTAGAGAAAGTAAATGAAGTATAGTTTAGATTATAATCAATAAAGTCGATTAATGCCGGAAAAGGTACTGTATCTGCTCTAAATCAAAAGATACTGTACCTGGCCTAACCTAACGGTCTACATACTGTCCTACAGTGCTATTGTAGAGCTGTTCACTAAATTTGCTTACAATCTGAAAGGTCTACTGTTAAAATATTTCATGATCTATTAATATGAAAATTCATTTTCAGTTTTTTTTACACACTACAAACTACGTCAGGTTAATCAGGGAAAATTCGTTGCTGTTGTTTGTAGTGTGTAAAAACAATTAAAATGAATTTTCATATTAATATTTCATATTAACCACTACTAAAAACATGTCAAAGTGTTTCATTAATTTCGTGATTATTGGTCTTAATGTTCAGAACTGAAAAATTGTTCTCATTGAATAGATTAGAATCGCGAATGTGGAAAACCGTTGCAATAAGAATTGGACCAATGATTTTAATGAACGTGCCAACTTTTCAATCGTTATCAAAAAGTGCAATTCTCTACCTTCTTGCGGAATCATTTATACCTGATATCAACCATTACAAGATATTGATTATGCCAGCCATGGTCGAGGACGTGTTATTGATCGATGGAATTGCCCAAGACTATCACACCAATTACCATTTTAAGGCACCCTGTTACATACCAAGGTAATACAACATAACCCAACCTTACTAACCCAACCTAGAGTAATATAACCTTACATAACGTGTTTAACTTAAACTTAACTCTGTCAATATGAGAAACTTCGTCATGTTATAATTAGTGATGAGCAACCTAGGACCTATACCAAGATTGTCCCAGTCTTGGTATTAGTCTTGGCGAAGACCTTGCTCAAATTCTTCTCGTCTTGATCTTGGTTTTGGTCTCGCTGATATAATCTCGAACAAAATAGAACAACGTACTTGAAAGAAGCAAAAAATATCGAAAAAAAGTTAGTTAGGAACAAGGAGCACTTACTCTGAGGACATTCTTGTAAATCCCTATTTTCAAACAGTGGTAAAGTTTATCTTTAAAATCTAGTTAAGCAACTTTAAATTTCAAAAACTAACGTTGTTTTGTTCCAAGAAAGAATATATTAAAATTGTTTCAAACAATTTAACTCATAAATTCACCGAATTTATTTGGGAACTATCAATTAGTCTTGCGTATTTGATCTTGGTCTTACATAATGGTCTTGTTCGTTTGATCTTGACATTACTCTTGCTGGTACAAAGACAGTTTTGATCTTGATCTAACATTTTCACTAATCACTAGTTATAACTCCTTCCTTATTAACGTTTAGTCCTTCAAAATGTAGTAAATTGATTGTTCATTTTATTATTTAATGATTTCTAGGAATATTCAGAAACTGGTTCTACCTAGAAGCAGCCATTTTAATTTTAAAACAGTTACTGCACCTAAGTTGCTACTGATTCCAGGAGGAGAAGTAAACCTTGCCGACATCATGGTTGAAATTGACTCCCATTCGGAAATGGTAATAAGACTTTCTTTTATTGTGACTACCAACATCTAAATTTAGACAAAATCCAATCGAAATGTACCAATACAGGGAGAACACAAGGCATCGTGTTCACCACTAGGATTCCACTGAGGTTATTTAACTACAGAACCCTGAAACTTAATAGCGTTTTAATTCCAGACATCTTCAGCAGCTAATATGAACATTCACTATGGAGATAACAACATGAAATGGTCCAATTTCAAGAGACAAAGGGATTTTGGAGCCACCGCAAGAAAGAAGAAGGTTACAGAACATGATAAAGGATCACATAAGCAAATAACCGTAAGTCAATGTTAATGCTGTACCGAATATATCATCATCATCATCATAAGGTCGTTAGTCCTAAGACTGGTTGGACACGTACCTCCACTCTTTCCTATCTTCAGCTAATCTACGCATTTCCCTAAAACTAGAACAGCCCACATCCTTAACTATTTGCGAACAGTAATCTAATCTAGGACTACCTGTACCCCTCCTAACTTCTGTTTCTGCCTCTAATATGTCTCTGACTAGACCTTCATGCCTAAGTAGGTGCCCTACCAACCTACCTCGCCTATTTTTTATTGACTTCCATAGAGTCCTCCGTTCTCCTATTCTTTCCAATACCTCTTCATTTCTAACCTTTTCTACCCACGATATCCTCATCATCCGCCTATAACACCACATTTCGAACGCTTCTAACTTTTTCTTTTCCGCCGCGCCCACCGCCCATGTTTCGCACCCGTACAACGTCGTGCTCCAAACATACACCTTTAACAACCTTTTTCGAATTTCTAAATTAACCGTTTGCGAACATAGTGACTTCTTTTTATTAAAGGCGATACGACCCTGCGCTATCCTCTGCTTTATATCCCTACTACTCCTTCCATCCTGACTTATCTGACTTCCTAGATATCTAAAATCAGCCACTTCATCTAATTTTTCGTCTCATATCTTTATATTCGTTCTTTCCCTACTTTTTCTTCCCTTGAATACCAGTATTTTAGTTTACTTTTATTTATTTTCATACAGTACTGATCTGTTAGTACGGCTTGCATTTTATTTAAAGCTATCTCTAAATCCTTCTTGCTAGGAGCTAATACTGGTGAGTATCTATCCTTGCAGCTTTACTGTCTTTGATGATGTTGATCGCGTCTTCGATGTATAAATTAAAATGTAGCGGTGACAGTTTGCATCCCTGTCTGACTCCCTTCCTAATTTTTACTTCTGTACGTTGCAGTCCTAGCTCTATAACTGCCTGTTGCTCTTTATACAAACTAAGTATCACTCTTCTATTGCCAAATATTTTTTACAGGGAGGAGACGATCCTTTGAAGCAGTCTGTAAGCTTTTCAATTATAACAACTGATTATGTTCCCAGTGATGAAGATGTTCCTGAAGAATTTGCTGTTGATCAAGATTAACGAATTCAATCTTTTATTAATCAGTGTTATTGTGTTTAAGTGGATTCTCTCATACGTTCGCTATTTCTTATTGTTAATTAGGAAAATTATGGCATTTGTTATATGTGTAGAAAAAAGTTGTGATTACATTTATAACCAACAATACATTGAACTATTTCTGTTAGTCTTATTAGACTGATATACACTTGTTGATTCTATTTCCTTCCCTTATTATAATGAATAAAATGATCATGACCAATGTCAAATAACGACAAAAACAAAGAGGTTTGGAAATGTTCCCAATAGCTCCAGAGAACAGGTACCTTGTGTACTCCCTAAAGCAACTAAATTTTGTTAGCTCAAAATGAATAAATGATAATGGTTGCATTTTTTATACAATATAGGAAAGAGCGCGTACATGAGATTTGTAGATTTAGAAAATACTTTTGACACTATTAAATGGGATGAGATGTTAAATATACTTAAAAATGTAGGGATGAGTTACAGAGAGAGAAGAGTGATATTTAGTTTGTATAAAGAGCAACAGGCAGTTGTTGAGCTGGAGCTGCAACGTAGAGAAGTAAATATTAGGTAGGGAGTCAGACAGGGATGCACACTGTCACCGCTGCTTTTTAATCTATAAATCGAAGACGCGACCAACATCATTAAAGACAGTAGAATTGTAGGAATAGATACACAGGAACAAAAGATTACTATGCTTACAGTTGCAGATGATATAGCAGTAGTAGCATCTAGCAAGGAGAAGTTAGAGATAGCTTTAAATAAAATGGAAGCGGTACTAACTTATCAATCAAGAAAATAAATAAAAGTAAATATACTAGTATGCAAATGAAGAAAAAGTAGACATGAAGGTCTAGTCAAAGACATACTAGAGGCAGTAAGTAACAGCAGTTAAGAGGAGTAGAAGAAGGCATAGATTACATTACTGTTCGCAAATAGTTAAAAATGCGGGATGTTGTAGTTTTAAGGAAATGCGAAGATTAGCTTAGGATAGGAAGGAGTGAAGGTGCGTGTCCTACCAGCCTTAGAACTAGCCACCTTATAATGATAATAGTAACTTTTTTTACAATACTTTTGGCACGATTCCACACTAAGCCTAATAAATGATGAAAAAATGACACTTTCAACTATCAAGAAGATTATTATGGCAATCAAAAACAAACAGAATGACGTAATCTGAGTGCCACGTGCGCCGTTTCCGAAACTTATCAGCATGGAAAATTTCGCGAACGATAAAGCCGACAACTGTCGCTAATAAACACCCTAGTGAGACATTTGGACCGGCGAAATGGGGTGCCACCCCCTGCTCAAGGTCTCAATATCCCACGTTCTCGTGACCAACTAGCCCCCTTACTCACTGATATACTATTTCATCGTAATTAACTGTATTCATAGCGCAGTTGATCCAAAAGAAAAATCAATAGATTTGAAATAAATCATTCGCCCATACCCTTATAAAGGAACGAACTTAGACATACAGGGGGAGAAATTTTTCGGTAACAATTTAGAGAATTAATAACATACTTACTTTTCAAATAATTCGAAGTGGTCTGTCTTCTGTCGAAACTGCCAGACGCGGATCGCGATTAAGCTAACGTGCTTATCACGTTGAGGTTGGCTACGCCAGGATTCGTTTTCAGCAAGTAGATATCCACACAAGTGGACCTTGTTGGAGCATACGTAATCCTAAAATGTAGCATCGTGCTACAGATGGCGTTCACTG